ACAATAATGTGCCCTATATACCTATGTTATAATTAAAGAGTAGTGATAAGGGTTTGTTTATTTAATTATATAATAATGTATCCTTACTTATTTTAGACAAAGTTTTAAGCATGTTGTAAAAAATAAAAACATATATATATATATATATTTTAGACATAGTTTTAAGAATGCAGTTTATATTTATATATTTATTTGAAACTTATGTTTTTTTTTTATAATTTTTCATTAATCCTTTACCAATTGAATTGAATGTCCTTTTGGCCAATTCCGAGAGCCAATTACCCCCTCTTTCCTTGGGCTTTCTTCTCCGCCTCCTTCTTTGTGTGTAAATTTGAGTTGCCTAATTCCAGGCGGGGCTGCCTTAGAACGGGAAAGAGGGGGCCAGGGGTCAGGGTTCAGGGGGTGGCAACTTGAGTCTGGGCCAAGTACACGCGCCTGCACATGCGAAATGAGAAAACTTTTCGACCACAACATCGACGTGGTGGCAAGCGTTAACAGCCGGCGGCCCACACAACTACAACGCAAATACAAACACCAATGCTCGTGGAAAAGCGCCAAAAACCCAACCCCACCTTGGCCCCACCCACAATTTTCGCACTGCATCGTTGTTGTCTGCCCGCAAAAGATTGCTTTTAGAAATTTATAGTTTCAATAATGTGGCGACCGCGTTCCACGAACCGTTGTTGCATCGTTGGTGGTTCGGGAAAAGCAGGGCGGGTTGGGAAATTGAGGGGAAAAGCACGTTGTATGTGTATGTGTGTGTGTGTGAGTGTGTGTGCATTCTCATGTGTATTTTCAATTTACGCGTCCATAACTTCAAGTTTTGCAAGTTTACCTACCGAGCAACACCCGAAGGAACAAGTTGTCGACGGGCCGCATATCGAACACTTGAGCAGCAGCCACACACAGATACGCTCATAGATACTTCACTTCACACACACACCCACCCACCCAGCAGCCAACACACACGCACATACTCCATCGGAGTTATAATGTTGCAGCTGAAATCGGAGCTAAGACTAAGGCTGCAGTAAAGCCAGTTTTGCACTCAGGAAAAAATATATTTTGATTATAATCCCAGAAGGTAATAATATATTTTTACACAATTATCAAATAACACAATATTCGTATTTGCTGTGCCATTTGCAGTATGTGTATTTTAATATCTAAAACATCGAAAATGAAGCTGAGGAATTCGCGATTTGATTTTGTTAAAATTTTTAAGACGAATTCTGAAACATTCTGAATAAGTTGTTGTCTCGAATTTCACTTTTGTTAAATTTATATATTTTGTATAAAACAAATCATTTAAAATTTCCAAACAATTTAAATGATTTCGTGGGCTACATTCAAAACTCTTAATCTATACTGATAAATTTTTTTTTTATGACCTTAAATTCTACGATTTTTTATAAAAGTTCACAATCTGGAGATGGGACTTGGGACTACAACTGAGACTGAGACTGAAGCAGTTGCCGTTTCCGCAATTACAAAACTTCCGCAAAAATAACAAAACACTCGCGCGGCAAACACCGCTAAATGTGGAAGACGAGAGGGGAAATGGGTGGGAAAAGCTAGTAACACATGTGCACCAAGCCAAACACACACACTTTTCCACTTTTCCGTGCATTTTTCTAGGGCAGATTTTAATTTCTTAATGCAGAAAGGGCACACCAAGGGGGTTAAGTGGGACTGAATAGGAGGAATGGGGCTGCCAAAGGGTTAAGCACCGCCGGACAACTTTGTCTTTGTGCATTCGCAATGAGACAACGGTCGCATCTGTTGCCAGTCAAACTGCAAGTCAATTCTGGGAACTACAAAAAAAAAAAAAAAAAAAAAAACACACACACACACACCAAGGATGTTGTGATGGATATGTGGAATCGCCCTCTTTTTTTTTTTTTTTTTTTTTGCTGATTTTTCTCCCAGTTTTCTCAACTGCCATTAGTTGGCTGTCGCCCAGCCATTAGCCTCGTTATCCCGGCTCAATTTTCTCATTACCTACCATATTTTCATCCACATAGATAGTCTACGCATCTTGCATCAAAAGAAATTGATAATCTCTTAATAAGCCGACAGGCAAACAGGCTAAGAATATTTTTTCCTTAGCCGAAAAACCAACAAACAGGCGACTTCAAAAGGAGTTTCCCAGACACGTGTATGTGTGTGTGGGTGTGTGTGTTTGTGTGTGGGCGTCTGAGATCTCAGATATAATATGCCCAATCCCAAATACTCGGACAACTCCCTTTTGACACGCACACAAATCACTTGATTCAATCATCTCGAAAATTGATAACATGCCATTTACAAATGACATCACTGGGAAAAAAAAGCAAACTCATTGAGCGCCTGCCACAAATTATTTATAGGTCAAAAACACAAAAAAACAAGATACCCCAAAAAATTAGGACACGTGCCGCCAGTTGACCAGCCTCTTGGCCACGCCCCCTTTTCATGCCGGGTGAAAGTTGCACTGGCCAAGTGAAAGTGAAACCTTCTAAACGCACACGGCACGCACCCAAAAAAAAAAAAATGAAAAGAAAACAACCAGAAACATTGCTGTAGTCTCTAGTCTTTGATACCCTATATTCATATAGATATTTATAACTTAAGTAAATCTTTAAAATGTTTATTATAGGAATGCTATTTTTTATAACTCTGTTTCAAAACGATTTGAACAATTTAACGAATTTTACAAATTTATTAGGGGTAAAAGGTACTACATTTGTTAATAATTTCGCTAACCAAGCACCGAATCACTTTTTTGTTTTTGGAAGCATTGCATTAATGGATGACTATATCGTACAACTTTCTATGAAATCCATTACATAACTGTATTATTTTATTATTTTTTTTTTTTACATTTTGTGAATCTGTAGTAAAGTACTTAACTTTAACTGCTCACTCAATCAATATAACCTTACTAGTACTGAGTAAGAAATAAAAAAAGGAAAAACAAGCGGCGGGAAAATTTCACCACCCCCCTGAAACTGCCTCATTTGGGATGCGTTGCACGCTGAGCTTTTCATTTCAATTTGAACGCATTTTTTTGCGGCCAAAACAAGGAGGGCAAAAAATGTAAGAGGGTCGAGGGTCAGAGCAGAAACAGAAGGCTAACCCATCACAATCTGAACAATCGGCGCAATCGGACAATTGATTCGAACGCATTTGCGTGCTTGCCTCAAATAACTGCAAATTATTTTCAGTCTGTTGTATTCTTTTGTTGTGTGTTTGCCGGGGATTCCCCATTGTGCCATCAGCCTCATCAGGCGGCAAAATGGGTGGTGGTCATGGAATCAAGTTAAGTGATTCGCTACGTGATGCTCTTTTGGGGCCAAGCATCGTAAAAAGGTTCCAGCAAAAACTGGAAGTGGACAAAAAACAGAAACGAACAGGAGGTCTCGCAGGATTGCCTAAAGAGCAGGCAACTTAAGATATACGAAAGACTATTCCGTATAAACATAATAAATTATACTGAAATCAAAGAAGTATTCTCATCAAACTAGTTGCCAATTTGAATGGCTAACTAATACTAATAATACTAATGCAGATTTTTCATTGTAATTTAAATTAGCAAAAGGGATCAAACGATTTGTTGTTTTGGATTTATAAAAACATTTTAATAATTTAGGGTTCTTAAAACTTAACTTGATTAAATTCAATTGAAAACACAAATGCTTACTTTGCCTAAAAAGACGAGAGGTTTGAGTATGTATAGATATATACGAAACTATTCCCTTTGGAACGGAAGCCCCCAACCAATATCAAACTCTCATTATGACCCAAGGCTGACCGATCCATTGAGCACTAAACAGTTGACCAAACTTTAATTAAGAGTACAACGAAAACAGGCAAACGAAAGCCACAGAGAAAGTCAAACAATGGGGCGGGAGAAAAAAAAGAACTAACCGAAAAGTCAGCAACACTTGAGCCAAATGTCAAATACACAAATAGCCGAATCCGAAGCTGAATCTGAATCTGAATCCGAATCTGAATGGATGTGGAAATGGCAATGAAAATGAAAATGAAAATGCCCTCCGGGGTGCATTTGCCAGCCAAACTAAGTGACCCGACCCTATGCGACCCGATTGAATAGAAACTATAACGAGACAAACAATAACTTGGACCCGGAAAAGGTTAACACTCAAGCCCCCCACCCAACATGGTATTGATAGCTTTAGTTTGTTTGGGCGGCCCCGACCGGAGACAAAAAGTGGACAAAGAAGAGTTAAGGCCAAGGCAAGTGACAATAACAAGCACAAAATGGACACCACTGCTGATGATGACAATGGTCCGAGGATTGGACTTTCTGCTCCTTCAGACGGCTTGACATCCGGCATAAATGTCAAACGCCAACTTTGACCGCAAATGTTAGATGGTAGATGGTAAATGGTAAATGGAAGATGGTTGGGTCACTGCATCGACAAAAAGGGACAGCGGATGACCGACCAACCAGCAATGGCAAATATATTCATGTCGATTTTCTAGACAGACAGAACCTGCAAGTCCATCACTTGCCAGACCGAAACTTAAATATCTATATATGCTGGCCGCCAGCCCAGTTAAAGCACATCTCGTCGCATCCGCTCCCGTTTGCTGCCATTCCAGCTCCCAATCCCAATCCCAATCCCATTTCAATTCCCATTCCCAACCCAAATCCAACCAAGTGCGTCGCTTAATTACAAAACGAACAACGCATAAAAACCAACAGAGACTGGGTTCGTCGATGGGCCACCTCCTTTACCCCCAAGGAAGGACACTATTGTCTAACGGGACTCAATGCCATACTATGCCATACACTGAGAAAAATAAAAAGCCATCTTAAATTCAAAATTAAAGTTATTGAAAAAATGTTCCTGCCTTTATATTACCTATAGCTTTCAATTCTGTTCATTAACAAAATCAATTAATTTTGTGGTAACTACGCAAGACTTCCTAAATATAAAAAGAATTCCCAATAAGTGGATTTGTTAAATAAAAGAACTTTATAAATTTAAATATAGTTTGTTGGGCTTAACTATACCCATTTTCTTATTATTACATGTATAATAATTTTTATATATGTTTGGAGATCAATTTTCTCCCAGTGTTTTATTCCATATCCCCACACTCCCTCACTGGCCGCCTCATCGTTTGACATTTGCAATATTTGACATTCAAGTAAAGGCATAAATTTGCGTTTAATGAAATCCAAAGTCGCCCAGGCCATGGGGATGTATCTCTCTATGTCGGGGCGTCTGCACCATATGACTGTGGCCATGGCTGCGAAGAGGGGGGTTGGTGAAATGGGGGTCCTTCGGCCCCCCTTCCGCCCCCTTCTGCCCCTTCTCGACAGCCATTAGGCGGGCAACCGCAGCGACAGCTGGCAGGGCCAGCAAATTACAACAGCAGATACGAGGAGAGTCTATTGAGCGGCCATTGAACATGATGATGGCAGGAACGTGTCCTCTCGGTTGTGGGTTTTGGGATCGCACTCGGTTTTAGGCTCCATTTCCTTGCTATGTTAAACAAAAATTTGTTAGTTCGTAGCTACATAGCTTAATTTTATTGCATTGTTTCTCACCTTCCCAATTTAAAAAATACAATAGATGAAAATATCATAGTTGTTGGTCGAATGATTGAATTATACAATTTGTAACCAGTAATTTGTGAAATGTTAACATTCAGAATTTTGCAATTAAGGAAGGGCGGTTGACGGAAAGTGCAATAAAACAAACAAGGTTTGTAAAAATAACAAACATTAAAGTAATTAAAACTCGGGGATATATGGTTGAGAAGTTTCAGGGACTTCGTGTGTGTGTGTGTTCCACCTGGTTATTCGAGTAATCATCTTGGGCATCTTGGATGGAGTTGATGGTTCCATCAACGCCAGATGATGGAATTGATGGTTCATTTGTGGCTTTGGTGGTGGCTTTGGTGGTGGCGTTGATGGAGATCTCCTAGTCCTCGTCCTAGTTACGATCATTTAACCCAAAACGAGTAAAACCAGTCACTCTCAATGTAGGCAAATTTGCTCGTGGACCGCCTTGACATATGTTACTCTGGTGGGGGGGAAAGGCGATAGGATTTCAAATAAGTCTAGAGGGTTTTTATATTCGACACTCACCAGAAGAGGAGCTCTCTGCCATCTCATTAAAATATAAATCGTAAGTCCGCAAACTGCCACGGAAAGAACTGCTAATCCAATCACCAAGTTGGTGTGATACTGCATTTCCTCTCGATTCAGCACTCTGTCCATAACTTCATAAACCCTTAAAGCGATCTTGTTGCCTATGCCAGTCAAACCCTCTGCAATGGAGAGTGGTTCAATAAGAAAATATAGAACAAGTGCTTTCAAATATAATACAAAATATATTCTATAGAATTCTTAAGATTAAAATAAATTCCATTTAGCTTGTTTTTGAGTAGTACCATAAGGTATTGTGTTTTACGACACAGGTAAGACATGTCAATGACAATATTAGATTGTCGGTATGTTTATATAGAGCGTGTGTGTGTGTGTGTGCGTTTCTGAATGGGGAAATGAGATTTGCAATTAAAAACTTGAAATCTGCGCAGCGAAAGCAAATAAAATGCAATTAGCAAGATTTGAATTAATTAAGTAGTAAGTACAGTCGTCACCGGCTACGGCAAACAAGTTGATATGGAAACCCCAGGCTCGAAGTTTCACTTTATTAATAGCCGAAAAGTAGTGGCAAAACTCGGTGTTGTGGGTGGAATGGAAAGCGAAGACATGTGCCAGACAACTCACACACAAACACGTGGAACAGTTGTCTTTTGTTTATCTTGCGCACAGACATGCCAAAAGTGGGTGGGCGATGATTAAGTGGGAGGTGGGTGGGTGGTGGACTTGGGACTTGGGACAAGGTAGAAGGTACAAGGTACAAGGGTAACTGGCAAACTCTTTTTGGCAAGGACGAAAAGGGACAAAGGCAACTCTGTAGCAGGAGCAACAACAGCAAAGTGCAATTATCGCAAAATACCTTAAGGTTTACATCGTCAATGGGGGGGGGACAAGAGGGAAAGGGAAAGGGAAAGGAAAAGACGAGGAAAACAGGAAAATTCGGAGCGGCCCACAGGTGTGCCCTCCGTGTGTCGCCCTCAGCCCCCTCCCCCCCTCGATTTCCCTTCCCCCTTTGTCTGCTGGTGTTTACCCAAGTGCTTTGTATTGAAGTGCATTTTGGCATGTAATTTGTAGTTCTTTGCTATTTGATTTTTCGAGCTGCGTGCTCAACCCAAAACCAGTTTTTGTCCTTTTCTCGGCTCTGATTTAAAATCGTTTAACATTACAGAAAGAGATGCTCGCCACAAAATAATCGCTATTAAATTATATGTATAGAATAGATTGCAGATATATCTACACACAATCGGCAATGTCCTCTAATATCATCTCACACCTAATAATCAGCCTTGATCAAATTTGTAAGATGATCAGCACAGAAAACGAGAAAAACGCGAGGTGAACAACAACAACACCAGAAAAAAATAAGGAAAAAAAAAAACAGATATGGAGAGAGAGGGCCTTTGAAGTTCGATAATTGCAAATTCCTTGCGCATGTTTCAGTTCGCATCAAATCGTCGCGCAATGATCGGATTTAAATCAGCGGCGACTGTGGCGCAACTAAATTGATCTTTTATCGCTTCAACGACGCTGCTGCTCTCGGGAGGATCGAGGATCGTATCGGATCGAGACGGAAAGGAGGGGGGACTGATGGGATACTACTATGGGATCGGATTGGTTCGGTTTAGTTGGGGTTTGAGGCTCTTGGTAGCCGGCGCGTAAAAGCTTACAAAATACGACAACGCACAGAAGCGCATAACTCAGCAGATGGAGCAAGAGGCAATGCGAGCCAAGAAGTGTCAATGCACTGAAAAAAAAACTAATTTGGGAATTCAAATAGGCTTTACCACCATACTTTCTAGTCTCATAAACAATGAGCAATCTTTTGGCGGCCTTCTTAACGGATCCATTTATATATTAGAATAATAGCTGTTTTGTAATCATTGATATAAATGCTACTTGTTCAGGTCGAACTACAAATAATTATAATTATAGCATTACGAACATTTTGATTATAATTAGTAATTTTATAATTTAGTAATTTAATTTAGATTTACTTTATGTGCTGGTATTGGGGCATTGTAAATGGCGTTGGCCATATCAAGGTCTAAATATCTCGAATATTACTAAGTAATTTCGTTCGGTGCACCATTGAAGCTGAAACCGCTCTTGGGATTGGGACATGGGGATCGACGACGACAACGACGTTCACGCGCTGGGATTAAATCGGAAGTTATGCGAATGTCAAAAGCTCGTCTCCGTCTCCCGCCCCTCGAGGTTCCTTGATTGGTGTGGAAGCCACCAGTTTCAGATACAGATACAGATACAGATCCAGATGCGGCCGATGAAGAGATGGCCATTTGGTTGCCGGTAGAGTGATGAAGTAAAAATTGTTACCGTATCGAATGCGGATTAAAATCAGCTAAACAAGTTGCCAGTCGCATTGGTCGCTCAATGTCTGTCGATCTTCCTCGCTTTGGTTGGCCCCTCTTCTTGTTCGCTTTTAGCCATATTGATGGGCCATGAAGAGGGTCAAAGCGAATCGATAACGAATCAATTAGCCGGTGTTCGAGGAAGAGTATAGGGAATTTAGGTAGGGAATTAAGTGGGCATATTAATAGTTTGCCTAATAAGATGCCCAATTTAATACTTCTTTGGAAAATAAATCTCAACTTTTAATAAATGCCAAGCTAAACTGAAGCTCGCTCGTTCAATTTCAGATGATTCTCAACTCCCAACTCCCATCATTTTAGTTGCCCTTTTCATCACTGGCTCCCCGGTCCTCTGTTCTTTTTGCTCTAATCAGCAACATTTCAAGTGGCCGGGCAAGAAAATAAATAAAAAGAAATCGGTCGAAAATGAAAAGGATTAAACAAATAAATCACTTGGCTCTGTTTTCAGGACATTTTCGTCCAGATTTTTCACAACGCAACGCGAGGGTAAAACCAGAAGGGGCAGCAAAAAAAAACAAAAAAGGGTTTGCCCACACCAATTAATGAGTTAAAAATTGTGCAGCATTGAATGAATTGGAAAGGATAGAGGCAAAGGATTTCCCGCTGTCCCACAGCAAAAGAGCAAAATTAATGAAGATATTTCGCTGTCGTCGGTCGGACGGGTAGAGACGTTTGAGTTGAGGACCAGACCAAGGAAAAAATCATTTGATTTTTAATTACGCTGATTTTTTATATTAGAACGGAAACAGCTTGGAATAGCAAACACCTTGGAAATTAACACGCCCCAAGTTGGGACAAGAGACTCAACTCGACTCGACTTGACTCGACTCGACTCTTGGTGACTTGGCCACTTGAGCCACTCGGATCGGAATCTCTGGAGCGGGGAAAGTGGGTACGGACCCAGACCCGGACCCGGATTCTCGGATGGCACTGCCAACTGGCCCTGGCACGCACGAAAGGGTTTCAACTTAATTAAACCGTTTCTTCTTTTTTCGTATACTTTTATTTTTGCCCCTTTTGACGCAATTGAAAATGGTTGGCAATATTGGGGAGAAATGGGGAAACGGGGAAATGGTGGTTCTAAACTGGCAACTGTCATCGTATTGGGCACTGCGAAAAGTGGGCACAAATTGACATCTAAAGTGCTTAAAATTTTCTTTAATTAAGTGTGACAAACTGTGGGCGAAATAAGCGAAGGCAAATGAAAAATACTTCGAAAAGGACTTTGGTTGGGGAAAAATAGCTGATAAAAATCGAAAAATCCTAAGAATAATTTTTTGTAATCATTTATGGTTATCAAATACTATCGATGATTGTTAAAATTTAGGTTGGCTCCCATTAATATATACACAACATATTCATAAAAAGCTTAGCCTTTATCTGTATAATCTAAGGAGCAGCTACTTAAACAATAGTATGTCTTTGATGTTAAAGAATTTTATTTACAACTAGCCTTTTAGGAACTTGTCACTAGAATATTAATTACGTCATTTTTAACAAATTCAATCTCTTGCTACAAATTCCCTAATGCGATTCCTTCTCGAACATGCAAGTCCCTTCAACCCTGTCCTCTTTCTGACTCATCGAGGGCCTTCGCCAGCCTAATAAATAACCCAAAACCGAAAGATGCAGATGTTGGAACGAGGGGAGGTCGAAAAGTATGAAAAGGCAGAAAAAACGAGGACGAGGAACAGTAGCTGCCCACGCAAAAAAGAAACGGACGACACTCAATGGAAGTCATTTGGAGCTCGTAAATAAGCAAAGTGCAGCATTAATAGTTGCTGATTAAGGAGCGCCTACGGGAAATTAAAATTAAGTAATTTAGACCCACGTTGCTGGCGACAAAGAAGTCAAGCTAAGAAAAAAAAAAAACAAGTAAGAACGCTATAGTCGGGTTCACCGACTAAAAGTTACTCGTTACTCAGCAGAGGACTTCACTTATAAAATAATAGCTCGATAGATACATATAAATAAACTTGCGCAGCGTAAAAAAATCTATAATCTGCATGCCAAATCTTCAGCTTTTGTGTTTTCTCGGACTGACAGCAATTTTGGCTGCCTGAATACCAAGCCTTTAGATCGAAAACTCGAGTAAAACTTACCGAAATTACCATCGGGATCAGAAGAGAAGCATAATACACGAGTCATATAGTTGTGAAAATCATCAAAAATACCCATTTTGCAGATCGATGAGGGATCACTTCACTTTTTGTATATAAATGTATGAAAATTAATCCTTGGAAATTTTCAGTAAATTTTCCAGTACGACAAAAAATATAATATGTTTTTCTCTCACTTCACTTTTTGTATATGAATGTATAAAAATTAATCCTTAGAAAATTTCAGTAAAATTTCTAGCACGATAAAAAATATTATGTGTCTTTCTCTCCGGCCAGTAGTTTTACAACTGACCCAAATGCCTGTGAGCGTCAAAGGTAATGACAAGTTGATTTCCAAGATAACTTGATGGAAAAAATTGGCAAAACATTTTCGAATATTAAAACTGAGTGTAAATATTTAGCCTACTTAGAATTGTTAAGGGTAAATTGTAAACGCACTTTATTTTTATACCCTTGCAGAGGGTATTATAATTTCAGTAAGAAGTTTGCAACGCAGTGAAGGAGACATCTCCGACCCTATAAAGTATATATATTCTTGATTAGCATCACTAGGCGAGTCGATCTAGCCATGTCCGTCTGTCCGTCCGTTTATACGCAAACTAGTCTCTCAGTTTTAAAGCTATCTGCATGAAACTTTCCCAAAAGTTGTATTTCTATTGCAGGTAGTATATACATAAGTCGGAACGAGCCGGATCGGACTATAGCATATAGCTCCCATAGGAACAATCGAAAAAATAAATAAAAAAAAATTATAACTTTGCTCTTATTTAATTTTCTTTTAGTTCTTCGACATTTAGTAATGGTTAAAAATTTCCGAACTACGGTTTAAATTTCATCAAAATCGGACGACTACAGCATATAGCTCCCATAGAAACAATCATATAGCTGCCATAGGAACTATCGAATAATTAACTGCAAATCATCATAGCTTCAATGTTTTTAAACATACACGCAAGTAAACCAAAATTTAAACGTTTTAAAGAGTATTTAGTTTTTGAAATAGCTGCAAGGCTATATTCGGCTTGCCGAAGTTTGCTTCCTTTCTTGTTTTTAAATAAAATATAACGTTTACAATGTCTTTGAATTATTTTTGTAATAATATCTTGTCTTAAGTTGTATAAACTATTAGTTATCGTAGAAAATTTCTTCAGGATCCAATCTTTCGTCAATTAGCCAAGAAAAAAGGGGCAGAGGCAATTGCTCTCCGTCCGACATAAATAATAATCAATTTGATATCAAATCGAGCCACCAACAGACGACAATGTCCTTGCCGAAAAGCAAAAAAAAAAAAAAAAAAGAATCAGAATTGATGATTATTGCTTTTTGACAGAGATTCGCCAAGGCGACAATAAAAGCGAGCCGGGGAAAAGGAAAAGTCCGCACTCACATGTCCTTTTATGAGGATGCGTGGGTTTTCTGTATTAGTATCAATAAAATAGCCGCACACACAAACGTGTGTGTCGAAACTGGGGGGGCCGAGGCAAAAATATTTATGTGCATGTTATAGTAAGTGCAAAATAATAGCCGGCGGTCGAAATGAGGGGGGTGGAGTGGCAAAAAATAAAGGGGGCGGTGGGAAATGGGAAATGGGATGGGAAAACTAGGGGTGGAGTGCAAAAAGGACACAGACACGTAGCACGCAGACTTGTACTAAAAATGTTTCAACAATTACCAAAGAAAATGATATGTGCTTGTGTTTGTGCTTGCGTGAGTGTGCGTGAGCTTCTATATGTATTTGTGTCTCTATCTGTGCGTGTGTGTGTGTGTGTGTGTGTGTATTTGGCAATAATACACTCGACACTTTTATTTCTTTTTCATTAGCCAAAAAGCGACTTTCTCTTCCTGCTCTCTTCGTTCTTCGTCTTTGGCGACTTTCTCCTTCCACTTTACGGTCGTGACCTTCACATGTGTGTCCTGCCTCGTCCACTATCACCCCCCAATAAATATGTGGGGGTGACTATATAAGTTACAAATACAAATTAAAAACTAAAGATTCTATATGTTTCTAAGAAAGTTTTTTTTTGAATGCAAATTTTATGTAATTAAAATTCAGAAAGTTTTTATCAACAAATTAAAAATAATTATTTTTGAGAAACCTTTATGATAGAATAACACTATTTTGAAATTTGTTCCCTTTTTCTTGATCAAACTATCCATGCTTTTAATTTCGAGTTCTACTTACACCCATCAGTCCCTACAGAGTTCAGTATACACAACCATGTCGGGGAAATAACACACAGGAAATTGCCTTCTGAACAATACAAAAAAAACCAAATTTAGTTTTAAGCATAAAGTGTTAAATAACATTTTTGAAAAACACTTTCTTAATAAACAAAACCCAACAAACAAATGCTTGCTAAAGGACATAAAACGAGATTGGACAAAACACGTGGTTAACAATGAAGTAAGTAAATAATATTAACGCAACTTTTTCTTGCTATGTTAAATATATGAATTAAATTTCAAAGCTTGCTGACTGAATGATATTGATATTTTCTTCTGGCTCGAGAACGTAGACTTCAAATTCCCTGTTAAACACTTAAACCGAATGGCAAACAAGTTGAATGGAGGATCAACCGTATCTTGCAGTGCAGTTCAGTTCTCAATCAATTATCGACTGGACAAATGGTGAGTAGTAACCAAACAATTATTTATTAAAATACTTTACATTTATATATTTTGTATTCCAGATGGCAAGCACTTGAAAGTTCAAAAAACAGATGTCCAACAAGGAGAATACTGGAGTCAACTACTGAGCTGCACCACTAAAACTTAAGCCATCCCACCCTCCACAACTCTATTGGATCTTGTCCCTGCTCTTCGTGTCCGGCACTTTTATTTGTAAACACAAAGACACTAACAAAAATACACTTGGCAAAGAAGCAAACTTTCGTCCATGGTCTTTGTATAAATTCCAGGATTTATGGGGAAGGGAAGGCGCAAATTGCCTGGGCTGTCATATCTTCTAATACCCGGAACCCCCAAATATAGGGGCTCCATAACCCTACTTTATTAGCAGTGTGTGTGCGCCAATAGTTTGCAATTAACTGGCTGGTAATAAAAACGGCAATCAACATAAAAATAATCGAGAAAAATCGGACGATAGGCATTCGGAGTCTTTTATGTGTGTTCTCTTACAGCATAATAATAATTGAGCATGCCACGCCTACTGCACTCATTATTGACAAAAACAAGGGGCAACTGTCCATATTTCCTACCGCAGAAATCTATTAAAAAATTCGGGCAAAAGTAGCCCAAAAAGTGGGTTGTGGGTTTTCATGTGCGCGTTGTAACGTACAAATTATGTAAACATCGTGGGTCGAGGGGGTGAAAAATTATGAACCTTGAGGCAGATTGAAGAGAAGTTTTTTGGGGGTTTGGGAGGCGAAAAAAACAGGGACAACTGCGGGCCCAGATGAAAAATTCGACCCTAGGCAATATTTACAATTAAAAAATTAACGTAAAACAGGCCGAAGAAGGTCCAAAAACCGGGGGTTGTGGCTACGGGATTTTCTTCAAAATATAAATTGGGGGAAAAAATGCCGTGGAAAAAACTGTGAAAAAGCCCTAAAATCAATAGGAAAAAACTGACAATGTTTAATTTCTGCGCATATGCACTGAGAGAAAAGTTAGCTTTGTTATAAAATAGTCAAAGAAATACCCATTTCCAATTTTTGTTTATTTACTATTAGCAGAAATTAAAAAAAAAAATTGTATTTTGCTTTATTACAGATCTTATCGATTGAATTGTTACTCCTTAAAATTTTGTTTGATTATTTCCGACTAATAGAATTTCAAATTTTTAAATACTAATTAATTAAATAGTGAATCTGATTAAAATATCTACATTAATTTATAATAAACCTTTTCAAAATTGTATAAATTTCCCATGAGTATTTGTATTAAGAAACTTTTAGCGTAAAAACTCGTTTAGCCTTAAGAGTATAAAAGTATATAAACATTATAAAGTATAGGAATACTAAGTAAGTACCTATTTACCAATATCATTTTTAACAGTGCATCTATATGGAAAAGAAAAAGTATGAATGTGGTTCGAGGGGATTTTCCGCGAGGCCTAATGGAAATTGTATTTATCTCGTTTGAAGTTTTTCTCGTTCCACCACCGAGCAATGTGTCTCGCACCTTCACCCCTCCACCCACTTTTCTCCGCCCACCAGGCGACACTTGGCCTCACCTTGCACCCCACATCCCACATCCCATACCCCCTCCACCTTCCCCTTCCCCCTTCCCACCAAGAAGCCTCAAGCGTTTTTTATAAATTAACAAACGAAGAAGCAGCAGCGAAAAAAATTATCAGAAAAGCGGCGTAAAAAAAAGGCAAAAGCGAAATGAATATTTTTTTCTGGTAATTTCTCTACCGTTTTTATCCTCAGTTTGCGGCTGTCAAGAACGCTGGGGAAAAATGTTTAAAATATTTTCATAGGTAGTTCGGTGGTGGGTTGGGCTATCTTCTCAGATCCTTAGTGTTTTTTGGGCTAATTTAAGCGTTAAACCGACTCCGGGCAGCCGAAAACAAAAAAAAAGGGGAAGCTGTAAAATGAACAGTTGGCTGAGTGATTGGGCGGATGGCAGGTGGGTGGGAGTGATGGAAATCGGGGTGGGGGAAGGCCACCAGAACTGATTATTCAAATCCAAAAATCTTCAGGCCCAATTTGAATAATTGTGCTCTCGAGCTCCTTGGAACCGAGTATCGATGGAATAATTCATAAAAAAAGTAAATAATAATAGAGATAACATATTCAGGAAGTTAAATGCAAATAAGTAAATTTTTTAACATTTTTGATGGGTATATTGAAGTTAAAAAATCGAAAATATATAAGTAACCGTTGAAAATTAATTTGTTGCACTTCCATACTTCATTATAAAGTATACCTTAATGGACATAATTTACCTTTTTTAAGTATTTTCAATCAAATTTGATAAAAAGTTACTACCAACCATATTCAAAACTATTCTTAAACAGAAAGTATATGCTCGCTAGAACTTCAAAAACAATGCCACCGAATATCAACACATCAACACAAAATAACTATTTATGTTGGCACGTTTCATCGCTTGCAAAACGCTTCACAAAATTGCCAAAAATAGCCAATAAACTTTTGCACAGATATATGTGTGCATATATAGAGCGTTTCAGGGACTGTGTATTCATAATGAATATTCCCATTCACAATCGGATACGCAAAACGTGTGGGGAAAAGGGTGGCAAGGACGTGCCTGGTTTGGCCAATTGCCTTTTACGCTTCGATGATGGGAAAACTTTTTCG